GGTGGTCTCACACCGATCGAGCAGGCGGTCTCTCGTGCCGTAAAAGTAGAACGGAGCGGACGCGCCTCCCTTAACTCGCTTGCCGGATAATTCGAGTTACGCCTCGACTGCGCGAAGGCACGCGGTTAGTGAAGAAGTGGACTAGTGAGTGTTTTTGAGGTTAGTGTATGCAAAATTCCTATCCGTCAAGCAAAGACGGTGTATCGGACTCGTAGGAAGACAGTAGATAAATAAAAAGATAATAATAATAATAATAAAATAGAATAATAAAACAAAGTAAATGATTGAATTCCATGATCGTGATTCTTTTTATTTATAGTAGCCTAGCTCCCTTCCTCGTAGTGCATGTAGCCTGTACGTGGACATCCGTCCCGTCCGGTCTAGTACCCTGACCTCCCCCCTCGTAGTGCATGGGGCCTGTACGTGGACATCCGTCCCGTCCGGTCTAGTATCCTAACCTCACTCCCCGTAGTATTTGGGACCTGTACGTGGACACCCGGCCCGTCTGGTCCAGTATCTTGGTTCCCCACATCGTAGCATTTGAGACCCGACGTGGACACCCATCCCGTTCGGTCTAGTACCTTAGATTCCCCTCCTCGTAGTGCATGTGACCTGTACGTGGGCACCCGGCCCGTCTGGTCTAGTACCCTAGCTTTCCTCCTCGTAGCGCATGCGACCGACACGCGGACACCCGGCCCGTCTGGTCTAGTACCCTAGTTTTCCTCCTCGTAGCGCATGCGACCGGCACGTGGACACCCGGCCCGTCTGGTCTAGTACAATAGCTTTTCTCTTCGTAGTGCATGTGACCTGCGCGCGGACATCATTCCCGACTGGTCAATCGTACCGCCATCCTTTCTCCTCCAATCCCCCCTCGTGTCCGACAAATCCTATCCGGCTTGGCCTCGCCCCAAGGTCCAGCCCGGTGAAATTTTGGCCTACGGCACGTGGAAAGTGACTTACGTGTCCCAATCGCGGAAGTGATCAGCGGGACTATCCGGCGTCCCCATACTCGCGAAAACTGTTTGCCTGGCTTGGCCTCGCCCCAAGGTCCAGCCCGTGGAATTTTTAACCCAGGAGCAAGGTACGGCGCGACCAACTCCGACACCAACTCTCTCTCTCCCGGCGTCTATGAGAACCTTCGGTGTGACTCCCCAAACGACTCATTCACTCGTTGAATGATACTCTCTAGTCCGGTGTTTCGGTGATTTACAAATTTCTTGTAAAGGACTCCTGGATCTGACTGAGATCTGTACCCCGGCCAGAGAGCATCCTTACAATTTTAATCCAATTATAATAAACAATTCAATGTTGTGGATAATGTGTTTAAAAAATACAATACAATTAAAACCGTCGTGCATCATTGTGTACGGTGTACCAGATTTCGACAGCAATGTGCACTGCAATTAATGGGGCAGATTCCGGATCAAAGAGCTACTACATCACAACCATTTAACGCATTCACGAGTAGACTACGCCGGACCTATTAATATGATAGTTTCAAATGGAAGAGGACAAAAATCGTAAAAACGATACATCGCCGTTTTTGTATGTATGAGCACAAAAGCCGTTCACTTAGAAGCAGTAAGTGATCTTACTAATGAAGCTTTTATGGCAGCCCTAAAACGATACGTAGCAAGAAAAGGACGATGCAGACTATATATTCTGACAATGGTACTAACTTTGTTAAAAAAAATTAAATATTGTCCTTATAGAAGCAATTAAATGAAAGTGTATAAATCCGACCCTAGCATACAATGGCAATTTATTCCCCCGGCAAGTCCTCACTTTGGAGAAATTTCGGTATAACATCATTTAAAACGAGTCATAGGAGACAGCACAATTACTTAGGAAGAAATGAGCACATTATTAGCAGAAATTGAAGACATTGAATTCCAGGCCGTTGTATTCGATGGATGACGAAAATAATCTTGAAGAGATTTTGACAACAGCGCATTTTCTAATTGTAAGACTAACACTTGATATACCAGAAGAGATGCCGGGCATCTTAATTTTGTCCTGCCGTTTATTACGTATCGTTTCCGGGTGGAAGCCGGAAACGTGACTTCTGGGAGGAACTCACTGATATGGGCCGGAATTACGCAAACCGTGACGGGCTCAGTGATCACGACCTGTCTTGGGTGCGTATTCCAAAACCGCACCGGGCGTCGGTGATCCTCTCCAGGTCGTAGAGCCGACATAATGTCGAACTCTTACGGATCCACCACCGCTACCAAGACATTCTACCAGAACACTTACCCGGATATTCCTCCTGGGTGATGTTTCCTCGAAGCTCGTCGGAACGCAAGTGCCTGGTCTGGGGCTATGGCTCCGCCTATATAGGCGTCGGTTAGTGTGATCAGATCGGACGATGACGATAATCACGCTTTGGGTAATCGAGTTATTGGGCGATGATTATCGGCGATCAATAACTTCATCGAATAAGTGTGACCGGGTGCTGTTGGCTTTAATCGCGCGTTTGAATAATGTCGTTGTACTTAGTTTTATTAGTTGTTGTGACGGTGGGCCAGTCACTTTGAATGGGCCCTCGTATTTCGGTGCTAACTTGGCTGCAAACCCAATAGCTGCCTTTGATAATGGATGTTGTCGTTCCCATACGAGATCTCCTACTTTGGGTCTCCAGCCTCTTTTCCGTAGGTTGTACTTTCTGGCTTGATCTTGTGCTGCTTTTTTCATGTTCCGATGTACCAACTTGCTTGTTTCTTTTATGCGATGCAACCGTGCTTCGATCCTTTACTAATCCGTTGTAACGTACACACTTAGACGGTGTACGATACAATGATTGATAGTATGAAAGGTTATAGGTGTAAGCGACTTATCATGAATAATAAATATTAAGTTAGTAGTATGTAAGATTATAGTTGTAAGCGACGTGTTATGGATAATAAATATTAAGTTGTAACCGAATAGTAAGTCATAGTTAAGTTCAAAACCCGAGTGGCAATGCTAGCCTATATTTAGCGAGTTAATAGAAAATACTAGAAAGTAAGGAATTTACCAGGATTCCCGAACGCAAGAAAAAGGAAGCGTGGGGAAGGTGGTCGTACAACGATCGAGTTGGCGGTCTCTTGTGTCGGAATAGTAAGACGGGACAGACGTGTCTCCGGCAGTAATTTTTCGTGTAATCCGAAGTAACACAACACGGTCGCGCGACGGCACGCGGAAAGTGAATAAGTGGGCTGATCAGCGTTCCGAGGTTAGTGTACATAATATTCCGCTCCGTTAAGGAAAGACGGTATTAGATAAATAAAACAATCTAGCAAAAAATAAAGAAAAGAAGTGAAAGTGAAAACCCTCGTTTGTGATTTTTATTCGTAGTCTATCAGTAGCTTCTTTCCTCGTAGTGCATGCGATCTGTACGCGGACACCCGACACGTCTGGTCAAGTACCCTATCTTCCCCCCTCGTAGTATATGTGACCTGTACGCGGACACCCAACCCGTCTGGCCAAGTACCCAAGCTTCCCCCCTCGTAGTATTTGTGACCTGTACGCGGACACCCGGCCCGTCTGGTTTAGAATCCTAGCTTCCCTCCTCGTAGTATTTGTGACCTGTATGCGGACACCCGTCCCGTCTGGTCTAGTACCCCAGTTTCCCTCGTCGTAGTGCATGCGACCGGTACGCGGACACCCGGTCCGTCTGGTCTCCGACACACGGAAAACGAATTGTGCGCCCCAATCACGGAAGGGACCAGTGACATCACCCAACGTTTCCACTCTCGTGAAATCGTTTGCCTGGCTTGGCCTCGCCCCAACGTCCAGCCCGTTGGATTTTTAACTCCGGAGCAAGATACGACGCGATCAACTCCGACATCACTCTCTCTCCCGGCGTCCATGAGAACCTTTGGCGTGACCCCCCAAACGACTCTTTCACTTTCACTTTCAAACTTTATCTATCGCGGGATCTAATTATTCCGTTTGCCGACTCAAAGTATCGACGTGGGGTCTAAAGTTCAAAACTAAACGGGATTTAACGGCAGTTGCTTGGGTACAAATTTCCATCATTTTGGCGTTGCATCATTATGGCTCTAAGCACGTGAGAGCTCGCATCTTAAGGACAGGCGGGCTTGACAAGGCTTTCTTTAAACTAGTAAAATCTTATTTTTCCAGTTGTTTCTTCGGAAACGGTCCTCTATTTTTAAGCAAATCAGATTACGGCTTAGCAAAACTTACGAAAGTATGAAAACAGACCTAAACTAGAATGGAGGTACTTGTAGTTAAGGGGTGTAGGGTATTTACGAATGGCTTGTATGTGTGCTTCGTTTGTAGGTACAAGTGATAGTACAGACATTGTATCCTAAATAGTCAACGCAGTTCTTTAGAAATTTAATTTTCTTGTAGTTGATTTCAAGATTTGAAAAGTACAAGGTGCCGCTAGAATAATGTCATCTACATATATAATCATAAGCCTCACGTTTACGTATAGTTTCATGGAGTACGTTGGAAATAAATCGCTGAAACACAGCAGGCCCATTTTTCAGACCCATTGGCATACGCAGGTACTCGAAGAGCCCGTCAGGCGTAATAAATGTGGTGTATTTTACTGACTCAGCTTCCATACCGATTTGATGAAATACACTTTTCAGTCGACAACTGAAAATACTTTTTACCTTCAAGATAGACGGTCTTCGATTAGTGGGGACGGAAAGTTATCACTAACTGTCATTCTTTTAACCCTCCATAATCGATGCAGATTCTGATTTCCCAATTCTTTTTCTTGACAAGAACTATGTTACAGGCTAACAACTCGGCAACGGTTGTATCACCAATGCCTCTCTCTAAGTATGACAATCTTCTCGGCCTATTATGAAAGGGTTCTGTACCGGTTAACTGTATGCATTAGGTATCTTATCCAAGTATTGAGGCTGATAGATATCACTGCATGTCTCAGCTGAAGAAAAATCGCTGCCTATATTCACATAATCAAGGTCAGTAGCCATAGATCCACAAATCCTGTTTATCTCAGAAAGCCATTCAGCCAGGGATTAATCAGGAACCAAGGGTGCATTCGGGCTTACAGAACCCGAACTTAGCTTTAGGGCTTGCGTTTTATCTAAGGGTAACTTTTTATTCATATTAATTAGCAAGGATGTACAGAATGATTCATTAACAAAAGCAATACGATTTTTTACAGAAACTATACGTTCCATTCACGTTTTCAATTATTTCTTTTCAAAAAAGTAAATTATTGAGTAATTGAACAGGGCTCTACCAAGTAGGAGCGCTGTAGGCAAGATAAGATTGGGATTGTCATAAACTCCTAATTCATAATACTTATCCTCGAACAAAATTGAACACGATGTTTTTCCATGCATAGGTATTGATGATCCACCAATTCCACGAAAAGGACTTCTTCTTAATTGATGATTTGTATTTAGGTACGGGACTTTCCAATGAACTTGTTGGGCTTCCGGTATCTAAAAAAGGAAATACATCTTTAATATCGGTGCATCCAGCTGAAATACTTGTTCTTAAACTTACTAACTGAATAAACTGCTTGACATCGATGCTCTCTTCAGCTACTGGCAAGGTTAATCCCACGGTGCGTTTGGGACACTTCGAAACAGATGAAATATCCATTATTTGGTCTTTTCGTCTTCATTTAGCAAACATTATTTATCCAAAAGCTGTGGATATCTGAAGTTGGATGGGATGAATTTCTGGATGAAAAAGTTGCTTGTGAATGGATAAATTTGAATGCAAAATTAAAAGCAATAGAGAACGTTAGGATTCCACGACGAACTAGGAGGATCGGAAAATGAACCTATAGAAATACATGGGTTTGCAGACGCGTCGTTTGCCTCATAAGTATATGGGAATACATCAAGTGGGATTACCATAGTAGCACAAAAAAGCAAAACAAAAGTTAATCCATCAAAAAACTGAAAAACTCTACCAAAATTGGAATTGTGTGCCGCACATATACCAGCAAAATTGTAGAATCTAGTTACTGCGACCATAGCGACGAAAACTGATGTCTTAGCTTGGAGTGATTCAATAATTGCGTTAAGTTTGATAAAAAGTTTGAGAAATAAAGACAATAAAACCAGTAATTGGCATTAACGACTGCATGGATACTCATTGGGTCAAAGGAAAATCCTGCTGCTTTAGGAACGAGAGATATGCAATTAGACAAGCTTGGAAAGTCTGAACTTTGGTGGAAGGACCGAAATGGCTTAAAAAGAAAAGAAAGACTGGCCCTTGGAAGAGGAGGAGACAGTACTACAAAATTTAAGCATGGTAAAACTGGAAAACGTTCTGCATGATATGAAAAATTAATTCAGCAACATGGAAAAATTGATTAAAGTAATGGCTTATGTAATGAGATTCTTAGATCGATGTAAAAAGAAATCTTGTTAGGATCAAATAATTTATCACTAGAAGAATTGGAACGAGTGGAAATAAAAAATTTTAAGATACATCAGCTTAAAGAATTTCCAGAAGAAGTCGAAAAATTGAAAGGAAAAAAGGAGATAGACTCCAAGAGTAAATAAGCACCCTTACATCCATTTTTAGATAATAATGAAATTTTAAGAGTCGGAGGCAGACTACAATTTTCGGAGCTAAATTTTAATCCAATTATAATAAACAATTCAATGTTGTGAATAATGTGTTTAAAAAATACAATACAATTAAAACCGTCGTGCATCATTGTGTACGGTGTACCAGATTTCGACAGCAATGTGCACTGCAATTAATGGGGCAGATTCCGGATCAAAGAGCTACTACATCACAACCATTTACGCATTCACGAGTAGACTACGCCGGACCTATTAATATGATAGTTTCAAATGGAAGAGGACAAAAATCGTAAAAACGATACATCGCCGTTTTTGTATGTATGAGTACAAAAGCCGTTCACTTAGAAGCAGTAAGTGATCTTACTAATGAAGCTTTTATGGCAGCCCTAAAACGATACGTAGCAAGAAAAGGACGATGCAGACTATATATTCTGACAATGGTACTAACTTTGTTAAAAAAAATTAAATATTGTCCTTATAGAAACAATTAAATGAAAGTGTATAAATCCGACCCTAGCATACAATGGCAATTTATACCCCCGGCAAGTCCTCACTTTGGAGGAATTTCGGTAAAACATCATTTAAAACGAGTCATAGGAGACAGCACAATTACTTAGGAAGAAATGAGCACATTATTAGCAGAAATTGAAGACATTGAATTCCAGGCCGTTGTATTCGATTGATGACGAAAATAATCTTGAAGAGATTTTGACAACAGCGCATTTTCTAATTGTAAGACTAACACTTGATATACCAGAAGAGATGCCGGGCATCTTAATTTTGTCCTGCCGTTTATTACGTATCGTTTCCGGGTGGAAGTCGGAAACGTGACTTCTGGGAGGAACTCACTGATATGGGCCGGAATTACGCAAACCGTGACGGGCTCAGTGATCACGACCTGTCTTGGGTGCGTATTCCAAAACCGCACCGGGCGTCGGTGATCCTCTCCAGGTCGTAGAGCTGACTTAAAGTCGAACTCTTACGGATCCACCACCGCTACCAAGACATTCTACCAGAACACTTACCCGGATATTCCTCCTGGGTGATGTTTCCTCGAAGCTCGTCGGAACGCAAGTGCCTGGTCTGGGGCTATGGCTCCGCCTATATAGGCGTCGGTTAGTGTGATCAGATCGGACGATGACGATAATCACGCTTTGGGTAATCGAGTTATTGGGCGATGATTATCGGCGATCAATAACTTCATCGAATAAGTGTGACCGGGTGCTGTTGGCTTTAATCGCGCGTTTGAATAATGTCGTTGTACTTAGTTTTATTAGTTGTTGTGACGGTGGGCCAGTCACTTTGAATGGGCCCTCGTATTTCGGTGCTAACTTGGCTGCAAACCCAATAGCTGCCTTTGATAATGGATGTTGTCGTTCCCATACGAGATCTCCTACTTTGGGTCTCCAGCCTCTTTTCCGTAGGTTGTACTTTCTGGCTTGATCTTGTGCTGCTTTTTTCATGTTCCGATGTACCAACTTGCTTGTTTCTTTTATGCGATGCAACCGTGCTTCGATCCTTTACTATTCCAAATCCGTAAATCCGTTGTAACGTACACACTTAGACGGTGTACGATACAATGATTGATAGTATGAAAGGTTATAGGTGTAAGCGACTTATCATGAATAATAAATATTAAGTTAGTAGTATGTAAGATTATAGTTGTAAGCGACGTGTTATGGATAATAAATATTAAGTTGTAACCGAATAGTAAGTCATAGTTAAGTTCAAAACCCGAGTGGCAATGCTAGCCTATATTTAGCGAGTTAATAGAAAATACTAGAAAGTAAGGAATATACCAGAATTCCCGAACGCAAGAAAAAGGGAGCGTGGGGAAGGTGGTCGTACAACGATCGAGTTGGCGGTCTCTTGTGTCGGAATAGTAAGACGGGACAGACGTGTCTCCGTTTTTCGTGTAGTCCGATGTAACACAACGCGCGACGGCACGCGGAAAGTGAATAAGTGGGCTGATCAGCGTTCCGAGGTTAGTGTACATAATATTCCGCTCCGTTAAGGAAACACGCTATTAGATAAATAAAACAATCTAGCAAAAAATAAAGAAAAGAAGTGAAAGTGAAAACCCTCGTTTGTGATTTTTATTCGTAGTCTATCAGTAGCTTCTTTCCTCGTAGTGCATGCGATCTGAACGCGGACACCCGACACGTCTGGTCAAGTACCCTAGCTTCCCCCTCGTAGTATATGTGACCTGTACGCGGACACCCGGCCCGTCTGGTTTAGAATCCTAGCTTCCTTCCTCATAGTATTTGTGACCTGTACGCGGACGACCGTCCCGTCTGGTCTAGTACCCCAGTTTCCCTCGTCGTAGTGCATGCGACCGGTACGCGGACACCCGGCCCGTCTGGTCTCCGACACACGGAAAACGACTTGTGCGCCCCAATCACGGAAGGGACCAGTGACATCACCCAACGTTTCCACTCTCGTGAAATCGTTTGCCTGGCTTGGCCTCGCCCCAACGTCCAGCCCGTTGGATTTTTAACTCCGGAGCAAGATACGACGCGATCAACTCCGACATCACTCTCTCTCCCGGCGTCCATGAGAACCTTCGGCGTGACCCCCCAAAACGACTCTTTCACTCGTTGAATGAAACTCTCTAGTCCGGTGTTTCGGTGATTTAAAAATTTCCTGTAAAGGACTCCTGGACCTGACTGAGATCTGTACCCCTGTACAGACTTCCAGGTTGTCGTATTTCCCGTCCGTATAGTAGATACGCCGGGCTGTATCCTGTTGACTCTGACCTGCTGCTATTGATAGTATCCATATCGTGTGAGAATCTGTTCTCGTAATATTTTTATTACGATTTCCGTAGTTGCTACTCTGGCGGCTGCTAGCTCCACCCATTTAGAGAACTTATCAAACATAACTAGAAGCATGTAATTGCCGTTGCTAGACCTCGGTAGTGGACCAACGAAGTCTATGGAGAGGGTTTCCCGGGGTGCTTTTGCTATCTGTGTCAGCATTTTCCCTGCCGCCTGCTGCTGTGAGGTCTTGTACCATTGGCATGTTTCACAGCGTCGGACCACTAATCATTCAACAAATAGACTGGTCATTTCATACAACGATTTTGAACACAAAAAAACGAAAAGCGGGAGACCCCGTGCTCACAGCAGAGGGCCCCTGCACTTCGTGTGCGTTCGGGTTTTTTGCTCTCTCATTCTTATTCTCATTTTTATGCTCACGCACTCATTGCACGAGTTCAGTCGTTCAGTCGCAGAGAGGCGCTTTTTGAAGAAGGCTGTCCTGCGCTTGAATTCGTCTTTGTATGTATGCGTGATCATGCATTATCATACACGGGACCATGTGTGCGTTTATTTCATTTCGACGTATCAAGAATATTTTGTCTTTTGCCACTTTTCAAACTTGGTACCCTAAGAATATGGGCGTATTAACTATTGGGTTATGATAAAAATATGAATATTATATGTTATAATATATTTTTTTAATATTTGAGCATACATTTTATTTTTTTTTACAAATTCAAATCAGTGGTAGTGTAATAAATAGTTTTTAATATTTTTAGTCTTTGTAACTCCGTCTGTTAAGAACGGGCTTTATTAATTTAATCTCACTTGACTTGAGAATAAAGTTGGCTTGGCTCACAATTCATATAGCTGCACAAGCTATACATGATATGCTTACATGGTAACCGAATGGTCAGCCGCGCATGCAGACATGCCGGCTCAGCATTTAGGATGTGCATAAAATTGTTGTGTGGGTCGAATTACTCCGCACTTGAAGTGCTGGGAATATTTGGACATAAGAAAATGCCACAATGTTGCAGTGATATAAGCGGTACAATGTGTACCCGATATGTGAGCTTACTATATCTCCCTTCTTTTGAAAAATAACGTTATATATGGAGTTATTTTTGTTAATTATTGTGTTAAATATATATATTAGAAAAACTTGTTTATACCCTTGCAGAGGGTATTATAATTTCAGTCAGAAGTTTGCAACGCAGTGAAGGAGTCGTTTCCGACCCTATAAAGTATATATATTCTTGATCAGCATCACTAGTAGAGTCGATCTAGCCATGTCCGTCTGTCCGTCCGTCTGTCCGTCCGTCTGTCCGTCCGTTTATATGCAAACTAGTCTCTCAGTTTTAAAGCTATCTGCATGAAACTTTCCCAAAAGTTGTCTTTCTATTGCAGGTAGTATATAAGTCGGAACGAGCCGGATCGGACGACTATAGCATATAGCTCCCATAGGAACAATCGGAAAAATAAATGAAAAAAATTATAACTTTGCTGTTTTTTAATTTTTTGTTTAGTTCTTCGAGATATAGTAATGGTTTAATATTTCAGAATTACGGTTTAAATTTCATCAAAATCGGACGTCTATAGCAAATAGCTCCCATAGAAATAATAAAAATATATAAAATAACTATCTAATAATTGAGCTGCAAATCATCATAGTTTCAATG